CCCACCCCCGCCCCTCTGCCTGCCCCCCCCCCCGCCCAGCCCCCGCTGTGCCCACGGCTGCTATAGCACTGCCCCCGCTGTGCCCACGGCTGGTATAGCACTGCCCCCGCTGTGCCCACGGCTGGTATAGCACTGCCCCCGCTGTGCCCACGGCTGGTATAGCACTGCCCCCGCTGTGCCCACGGCTGGTATAGCACTGCCCCCGCTGTGCCCACGGCTGGTATAGCACTGCCCCCGCTGTGCCCACGGCTGGTATAGCACTGCCCCCGCTGTGCCCACGGCTGGTATAGCACTGCCCCCGCTGTGCCCACGGCTGGTATAGCACTGCCCCCGCTGTGCCCACGGCTGGTATAGCACTGCCCCCGCTGTGCCCACGGCTGGTATAGCACTGCCCCCGCTGTGCCCACGGCTGGTATAGCACTGCCCCCGCTGTGCCCACGGCTGGTATAGCACTGCCCCCGCTGTGCCCACGGCTGGTATAGCACTGCCCCCGCTGTGCCCACGGCTGGTATAGCACTGCCCCCGCTGTGCCCACGGCTGGTATAGCACTGCCCCCGCTGTGCCCACGGCTGGTATAGCACTGCCCCCGCTGTGCCCACGGCTGGTATAGCACTGCCCCCGCTGTGCCCACGGCTGGTATAGCACTGCCCCCGCTGTGCCCACGGCTGGTATAGCACTGCCCCCGCTGTGCCCACGGCTGGTATAGCACTGCCCCCGCTGTGCCCACGGCTGGTATAGCACTGCCCCCGCTGTGCCCACGGCTGGTATAGCACTGCCCCCGCTGTGCCCACGGCTGGTATAGCACTGCCCCCGCTGTGCCCACGGCTGGTATAGCACTGCCCCCGCTGTGCCCACGGCTGGTATAGCACTGCCCCCGCTGTGCCCACGGCTGGTATAGCACTGCCCCCGCTGTGCCCACGGCTGGTATAGCACTGCCCCCGCTGTGCCCACGGCTGGTATAGCACTGCCCCCGCTGTGCCCACGGCTGGTATAGCACTGCCCCCGCTGTGCCCACGGCTGGTATAGCACTGCCCCCGCTGTGCCCACGGCTGGTATAGCACTGCCCCCGCTGTGCCCACGGCTGGTATAGCACTGCCCCCGCTGTGCCCACGGCTGGTATAGCACTGCCCCCGCTGTGCCCACGGCTGGTATAGCACTGCCCCCGCTGTGCCCACGGCTGGTATAGCACTGCCCCCGCTGTGCCCACGGCTGGTATAGCACTGCCCCCGCTGTGCCCACGGCTGGTATAGCACTGCCCCCGCTGTGCCCACGGCTGGTATAGCACTGCCCCCGCTGTGCCCACGGCTGGTATAGCACTGTTCTCCATGTGTCCTGCTGCCTGACAGTTCTCAATGTAACCCCACCGTGTGCTCTCCCATGCCCTGAGCACCTCCCCAGGCGTGCAGCACAGGCAGAGCCCACAGGCACGAGGCAGAGGCAGGGCTGGCAGCTCAGGGAGCTGAGGAGGGGTTGTGCGGCCCTAGTCCGCAGGATCCTAGTCTGCGTGACTGGCTGGAGAAGAGGCTGGGATGAGGGATAAAGCCCAGGGAGGAAAAGTGAGACCAGTGGGTGTAAATTCCCTGGTGCAGGACTTTCAACAGCCTTTCCCTCTGTGGGATCCAACCAGTCCTCACACCCATTTGCAAGCGGTGCGGGCTCACCACATTTTGATGCAGCAAGCCCAGAAGTGCAGGGCTCATCCCTGGCACAAATTAACCACCACTGTCCTGGCCCTACCCACCTCAGCCCCTGCCGCAGGACTGCGTGGAGCGTAAATTCCCTGGTGCAGGACTTTCAACAGCCTTTCCCTCTGTGGGATCCAACCAGTCCTCACACCCATTTGCAAGCGGTGCGGGCTCACCACATTTTGATGCAGCAAGCCCAGAAGTGCAGGGCTCATCCCTGGCACAAATTAACCACCACTGTCCTGGCCCTACCCACCTCAGCCCCTGCCGCAGGACTGCGTGGAGCTAGGATGTGAACAGGTAACCCGGCAGCATATGAGCCCATGTGGGCTGGGGGCTGGCAGCCTCCCCCTCCTGTGGGACTGGAGCAGCTGGGCAGAAATAGCCCCTCACCCGCCCCCATTTAATTAGTTAACTGGTTACATGGGACTCTACGTCCCGACGTGGAGCGGATCTCACCTTGGAGCGGTCGGGGTCACAGAAATCCAGGAGCGTGTCGCAGACGTGATAGCCCAGAGATTTGAGGTCCTCCGAGGTGAAGTGGGAGTCGCTCTTCCTGCCTGAAGGAGGGGGAGAGGCACAGGCTGTGAGGGCTGGATTCACAGCACCCCCCTTTCACCCTCGCACATTCTTGGGGTTTGCCCAGCAGAGGGCACATGGGACAGCACGACCCACCTTCCCCAGTCTGCTCAGCTGCCCTCCCTCCTATCCGGGCCCTGTGGCTCCACAGCTCTTCAGTCTCAGTGTAGCCCTGTGACACAGCAGGGATTTTCTGTGATGTTCTGTATGAATGCCGTGCGTGCCTCAGTTTCCCCCATGTGCTGCGTGGTTAAAGAGGGGGAGGGGCAAGGCTATGGCAAAGGTGTGGCAGGGGCCGGCTGGAACAGGTCATTGGAGAACCCAGAAAACAACAGCAAGGCCGATCACCAGGACATTTGGTATCTAGCAACTAGGGACCATGGATGGTCCCTTATGTGCTGGAACTAGGCAGGCCCGAACACAGGGCAGCTGCGAAGGGTGTGAACACACCCCCCCCGTGGTCCTCCAAGTAAGTGTGAGGCTGGGGTGTCGCGGTGCCGCAGCCTCCCTCCCTCGTGCTCTGGCTGTCCAGGGGAAGGCTGGGGCTGATCCCCCCCACTCCCACCAGGAGCAAGGCTGGGAGATGGTCCCTTATGTGCTGGAACTAGGCAGGCCCGAACACAGGGCAGCTGCGAAGGGTGTGAACACACCCCCCCCGTGGTCCTCCAAGTAAGTGTGAGGCTGGGGTGTCGCGGTGCCGCAGCCTCCCTCCCTCGTGCTCTGGCTGTCCAGGGGAAGGCTGGGGCTGATCCCCCCCACTCCCACCAGGAGCAAGGCTGGGAGTATAGCCTGCTCCTGATACACTTTTAGGATGCTGCCGG